CGGCGGCGCGGGCAATCCCGGTGCAGGAGCAACTTGTTGCTGCGCGGCGTGTGCGTCAAGGAAATTAGCCATTCTAACGTCCATCATTCCCGGCAGACCTTCCATCACATCCTGGAATGCCCGCATTAAGTCTCTCACCGAGTCTTCCAGTTCTGCTAGTCGTTCCCCGGTAGTTTCCTCCGGGATGGGGTCCCGAGGTCGATAGTCCGGGGGTGGGTCATAGTCCTCTTCCGTTTGGAAGGCTCCGGTGCCCTCCTCATCTTCTGCGTGGCCTCGCGGCCCCGATGGCTCGAACATCCACTCCTCGAGGTCTTGCTTGGAACTCCCCTTCTCCGAGGTAGTCCCCGGCTCCGGGAACAATCCCTTGTCAAACAGACTCTCACGTAATCCGCTCCCCCGACGGGAGTACACCTCTCGGGTGCCCTGAGTGTTGTACATAGTCCAGTCATCCTGCTGTTGAGTCTTCCGCGGACCCCAGTGCGAAGGGGTCGGAGGCGGCCAAGACAGATGTGCAGGCAGGCGGGGAATCGTTCCCCCCACGGCACCCTCCACCGAGGCTGCAGTCGTGAACACCAAAGACGCGGAGGTTTGTGGGACCGATCCTGAGTCCCCCTCCGTGTTAAGTAGGTTTCCCTCAGTTCCGCTCATGATCTTGCCAGATTCGGAACGATAGGAGAAAGGGAGTTCTAACAATATGTTGGATCCCCAAGCATCGAGAATAAATCCACGTTTTCAAGAAAAGCAAAATTTATTTCAAAGCGTTGAAGACATACTCAAACACGTTCTTTGTTAGAACTGGGGATACACAGTTAGGTCAAGCATAATAAAGGAACTTCAAACAGATACAGATCCAATGAATAGCTTTCCCGCTGGCGGGCTAATGAAACGGTTGCGCGCCCAGTCCATGGGAACCAGGCAGAACATCAGACAAAACACAGGTGCAGTACTCATGAGAAAAGCAATAGGCAAGCATTACAGCATCTTCTCCCCCACACAACCTCCAGCAGTTATCTTGTGCATTCCAACGCAGGAGCAGGATGATAGAAAATAAGCCGGGTGCAACAGGGAAAGGATATGTACACAGAGGTCACAGAAAACAGAATGGCAGCTTGCTGACAGGGGGGGCGTGTTAAGCCACACACTTGCTTGCTTCTCTCCCTTTTGGTCTGCAGCCTTCCTAACTGCTTTGATTTTAAATGTGAGTAGAAAAGCATGGCTATGCTTCATGTGTAGCTTGCACTTAAGTTCTCACAACAGAACAAAGTTTGAGTCCAGTGGCACCTTTAAGACCAACAAAGTTTGGATCCGGTTCCGGGCTTGACAAGAGCAGACGCATGCAGAGATCGCTCTGAGCGTTCTGCAATTCCTTGGATTTTTCTTAGGTCAAAACAACAGACCCAAACTCTTTCTCGTAGGGAGAGAAAAGGCAAGAGACTTTTCAACCTTAACCAGTAAGGGTGGCAACCCTACTGGCTTACCAGGTTCGTCTCAAGGCAGGAAATTGCAAGGACACCCAACACACACGCTGTGTGTATGAGGAAAAGCTGAGCCCAGCAGAGGCAAAATTGGAACTCCATAACAACAACAAACTCAGCTATACGGAGCTAAGTAACGATAAAAAACTTCAGGGGGGGAGGAGAGAGAAAAAGACAAAAATAATAGAAATAACAGAGAGAAAAAAGATTAAGATAGCAAACAAGGGAAGTGACAAAAGTAAAGCCTAACAGTAAGATAGAAATAGCAAGAAGGAAGTAAATAACGGCGTTAGAAAGTAAACTCAAAAAAGAAACGCAAAAGGAGAAAGGCTAGGGAGAATTTAAACTTAAAAGGGGAAATATAAGTAGATAAAGGTACCGCATGATTCTGTGCTCTGTTTCCTTCCTTTTG